ACACACACACACACAAAATGGCTGGCTTTGGCAAAACACTCAAGTTAAAACACCTTCTCTTCTCCCCTCTCATTTCATACATTCTGTACTGTACATTAACCACGACCGTCCCCCAAAAGGAAACAGGCACAGTTTCTAATCTTCATTCCTGTATTTAAATCCCTTTATTTGTTAACAGTTTTTTTAACAGTCTTTAATAAACCTTTTTTTCACCTTTAGGAAAAAAATGTTTAAACCAAAGAATCCATTTGCTTGAAACTTGTGGCAGAATGCTACTCCTGCATGTGGCCAAAATGATGATTTCTGGGAATATTTAAACAGTGCTGTAGGCATCCTTGTCAGGACGTCAGTTCTTCACACATAACTGACAACTCTCAGTCCTGCCTCCTTAGCTTCCTACAGGCAGTGGAGTATGCAGAGGTAGGAAGCGAGATGAGGAGGGACCAAGCCATATTGAGATCTAGAGTGACTAAGAGTGCAGAGCAGAGCTGAGAAGTAAAGGCTCTATGTTTTATTTCTACGTACACAACTCAAGCTATTTCTGCAGATCAGGTGGCAAGGTCTTAGGTTCTTATTGCGTGCGTGCTTGTGTGTATCTCACCTCTCCTTCCCCAGGGGCTCAGTCACCTGATTAAATGTACCATTTGGTGAGCCCATTGCTCTGTTTAAATGGCATTACGAGTCTGCAAAAGAAAGTGAAGAAATACGATATATATGTCTTTATTACATCTGAAGGCACTGTAAAAAGGCTCATGAGGCTTCAAAAATCCCTCCCTAAATAGGTGTCTTGAGCCTTTCTTGGGGGAGGGGGATATGGTGGGAGTCTCCCCATGAGTGTGTGATAACTTGTGCCTCAGAATCAGGGGAGTAACTTTTATGAGTTGTAGTTCTTCCGCTGGTAGGGCAATTGCAGTTTAGACTCTACCTGATAGGTAGAGAAAGTAGGAAGAATCTAGTGCTAGGAATGGGTGGAGAGACATCTGGTAGAGCTCATTCCTCTCTCTCTGACTCTCCTCAATCAAGTTGTTAGTTTCCTCTAGACATGTATGATAATACAAAGGCAGTTGCTTTGTTTTTTCTTCCTCTACACACCACAGCCTCGTTTCTTCAAAAGAAAGCCAGCACATGTTTGTGTTCCTTTTAGTATTTGCTTACGCCAGGGTTTCCTCACAGATCCTTCCCAAATTGCAGCTTGGAGTCATATATTAAAGTGGCACGTTGCAGGAACAAGTGTGGCTGCCATGGTAGAAGACAGGTACTGACTGCTTATTTGACACAATAAGCTTTGGCCCCTTTTCTCAGCCATTTTGGGATAGGGTTCATCTTATTTTTCTGCAGCTCTAACCAAGGCACTACGCTGATTGTATGTATAAATGTTCCAGCCTCTCGTCTGTGCCGTTTGCTTTCCCTCTTTAGGGGTTAACCACGTTTTCACTTTGGACAGGTGAAAATTTTTATTGGCCAGTTCATCATCATTTCTGAATGGCATCTACTGCTTCTCAATCATCTATAGAGAACTTTATCCCAAATGAGATTAATTTAATTTTGTTTGTTTTTTTTAAAAAAAAATCCCAGCCTTTTAGTCATGTGTTCCCTGCATCCCCTGCAAATAGTGGCTGTGGGATGTTTCAGTCCCTATTAGTTGTGCCTGAGCAAAACCTCTGCCTTTTCATGGCATTTATCACTGCAGCAGGTTAAATCACTCTGGAATGTGACGATTTTCCTTTTTTAAGCTGTTGCTGGAATGGGTTTTATTTTGGGTAACAAAACTTTTTTTATGATTATTATTATTTTGCCACACTGTTCATTTTCTGAAAGGAAAGAGGAAAAGTGTATGGATTTGTAACTTGAAACTAGGCCAGACTGTTTTGGCTTTGCCCAACAGACAAAAATATGGATATTAAACAAGTTTTAAGAAACGGAACCTCTTTGCTCTTTTGTTTTTGCATTTAAAACTGTTCATGGGTAGCTTATCTTGGCGGAGTGGGACAGTACTCAAGGAGTCATGTGTAGGAAATCACTTGCCCTTACAGAATTAGCAAGCCGTTTATTCAAGCCCATAAACATGCACACCTCCAGTGGGAATAACAATGTCAGATAGAGAGGGAGCAGTTTCTCTTGGCTTGATTGCTGATCCAATACTAAACAAGAGTAAGGTTGCAAATTTCTGAATGGCACAGAATTCTTTAGGTCAGGAGTTTAAAAGATGAAAACAAACTTGTAGAGAAATAGAAGTAAAGCACCACCTTTTTTTCTTTTCTTTTGTACTTACAGTGTGCACATCCCGTAATCACACACTACAAACAGGGAATTTAGAACAGGTACAATATCTCACCATTGTGACAATTTCTTGATTCACACTTGACCTTAGAGGATTTCTAGACCTTGAGAAGATAGGCTCAAAAGACATAATAAATGCCTGGTGAAATTTTGGTAATGAGATGATTTTCTAAACTGTAGGAGTGTACTTGGAGAAGGGAAATTACATAATTTAAAAGATCTAACAATTTGTTTTTTTTCTTGGTATTCTCCACACCCCCATGGAGATTGTGACCATTTCTTTTTGAGTGCACAGAAGGCTTTGTATAGGACTGTGAATACCTAATTATGCCACAATACCTAATTATTTTATTTATTTATTTATTTATTTATTTATTCAATTTTTACCCCGTCCCTCTAGACTACGTCTACTCTAGACTACCCCACCCCTCTAGACTACTTATGCTACAATCAGGTCTATCTGATGTATTCTGTGCTGAATTCAGCCTCTCAGAACCCCATAACAAGCAAAGCAATCCAGCACATTCCACCCACTAGGACACAGGCTGTTCTAATTCTTTACATGTACATTCTTCTGCTTGTTTGCTAGAGAGTGGTTTGGTACCTGCTGAATATTTTATTTTGGCTTTCAGTTTGTGTGTTTGCCCTGTTTGGAGAGGTTCTGCCCTAATCTAAACCTGGCAGTTCTCCATCTTATATCCGTAGTGATTTCCTCTAGAGATGAATGGGAAGTGCTTCCTACTGCCTTGACCAAATTCAGAAATCAAGAGGATTGGCTCATTTAATTTGCTAGATCAAGATTTGAGGGCAGGGAGAGGTCTTCCACATGCTCCTTGTATAGCTTCTTCATACCCGATCATTAGTAAACCTATATACACATTTTTAAAATACTTTTATTTAATTATTTTATGTGTATTTGTTTAATTGTTATTCTACTTTTCTCCTAAGAATGGGACTCAAGTTACAGAAATCAGTTTTTCTTAATGTGGCCTTAAAGTTGCATGTGTGATTGTGGATGTGTGTATAACTTTGGTGGGGTGTGCCACGTAGATCCCCAGATATAGTCATCTAAAACAAGGAGGTCTAGAACTGGCAGCAGTGAAACAGAAATAACAATTTCCCTGCCATAATATTGACTATTTGAGGACACCGCTTTTGGACCGCATGTATTTTAGGGATTTGGTGCACTGGTTTCCCCTAAACTGCAAAAGTAAGCTACGTTTTCTTCACCTACATAAGGATAGGAGTCTAGAATCTGTTGCAGATTCTATAGGAAGGGCAACTGATTGCCTTGGACCAAAGCACATGTGAAGGGTCATCCTGTGTTGTAAATGTAATCTGTTAACTTGTATGTAAATTGCTGTATGTAGGGAAATTCCTCATGTACATTCATCCTTTTATCACTAGGGGACAGCCTGAGCACAACTATGTAAACCAACAGTTCCTGAAAAATGGCAACTGGGAATTCTTTTGTGCTGATAACTACTCATTTTCCTATGTGAAATGAATTTAAAATCTTTAGAGTTCTAAGTCTCCTTCATGGATTGCTGCCTTGTCGTGGCAAAGGGGCTTGAGTAATTCAGAGAATCTATGGGCTATGCTATGCAGAGACACCCAAGACGGACAGTTCATAGTGCAGAGTTCTGACTAAACATGATCCACCTGGAGCAGAAACTGGCAAGCCACTCCAGTATCTGGAGTGGACAGAAAACCCCATGGACAGAAACAAAAGGCTAAAAGATATGATGCTGGAAGATGAGCCCCTCAGGTCGGAAGGCGTCCAACATGCTATTGAGGAAGAGTGGAGGACAAGTACAAGTAGCTCCAGAGCTAATGAAGTGGTTCGGCCAAAGCTGAAAGGACGCTCAGCTGCAGACACACCTGGAAGCAAAAGGAAAGTCCAATGCTGCAAAGAAAAATACTGCATAGGAACCTGGAATGTAAGATCTGTGAACCTTGGTAAATTGGATGTGATCAAACAGGAGATGGCAAGAATAAACATTGACATCCTGGGCATCAGTGAACTAAAATGGACGGGAATGGTGGATTCAATACAGATGATTATCATATCTATTATTGTGGGCAAGAATCCCATAGAAGAAATGGTGTAGCCCTCATAGTCAACAAAAAAGTGGGAAAAGCTGTACTGGGATATAATCTGAAAAATGATAGAATGATTTCAATACAACATCACAGTAATCCAAGTTTATACACCAACCACCAATGCTGAAGAGGCTGAAA